AATACTGAGGTTGTGACCTTGGGCAAAGGATAGATTGGTGAGTTCCTGAAGACAGTAGCAATTCTTCCAACATGCTGGTATTTTACTAATTGATGCATTGTATATACTGGTCTTTTAATAATTGATGCATTATGGAGGAAGCGACTTTCATTTGATACAATCACGGCCTGCCCAACAACAAGTTAAAGGTCGCTGGCATCTCCATGATATGGAATTCAATTTCATGCTTAGATGGTTCTACCAAAATTTGTACGTTAGTGGTACCCATAACCTCTCGGCTAGTGTTATCATTTGCTCGGATTAGTTGATTTGTTAGTGCAAAGTTTGTTGGCTTCAACCCTATCTCATAAGCAGTGCACAAAGGGCATATATTTATGGCCGATCTAGTGTCAATTAAGACTAGAAGGACCTATTTCTTCTTGTATTCTAAAGATACACACAAAGGTTTGTTGTGCTCTAATCGTTCTAGAGGAAGTTCTTTATCCGAAAAAGACATGGATGGAATTGGCCCAGTTGGCGTGATCAATGATACCAGCTGATCTGGTGTGGTATCGATTGACAACTTGGCTTTGCTTAGTGTTGTAAGCATAGCCTGTCGGTGTTCTCGTGATGCCATGAGCAATCCCTAGATCGAGATGTTAGCTTGGATCTTTTTCAGCTGTTTAAGGACCAAATCTTCTTCTTCTTCTTCTTTCTCTTTCTCCTTTCCTTTCTTCGTATCTGTTCCTGATGACTCATCTTGATCTATGTGTGAAGGCTTGAAGAAACACCTGCTTCTAGTTAGATGATCAATTTCCTTAGAATACCAGGTGTCATCCGGAACATTGTTTCCCCAACCTTCATCAATGTGGGCGAAGTGTAGATCATTGTCTTCCCACCACTCCCCTTCATTTATAGACAAACAATCATCTAGTTCAATATGTATCATTTCTATACTGTAATCATCTCATTTTCAATGATAAGGTGATATTGACCAAATTTATCCAAAAATCTTCCTTTTTTTCATGTGCGCCCATACCAGATTGGATCTTTTTCACTCTTCTTCTGCTGTTGGCCTAATTGGTCCAGTTCTCTCTGATTCAGGCACTACCCTCCCAGTTTCTTCTCTCTCAACCCCTTCTAGCATTCCTTTCTCAGTCTCCTCTTTTTTGGGTTCTTTTGGCTTATTACTTTCCCTGGTTTTACTGCTTTCGCCTATCTTTTCCTTTCCCTTTGCTTTTCTACTGGCTTGTGCCTTTTTTTTTTCATCATTTTCCCCTATTTCCGAATCCCACTCACTACTTGTCCACCCATGAACATTGGTCAAATTGTTCAGGTTCTACCATTCGATTTGTACATCTTCCAAGCTTTACTCTTCAAAGAAATGGAGATTTTCCAAGTCCTTTTCCAAATTAGCCAAATCGCCCAATCATTGCTTAGGTACATCTTGTTAGATGACATTAATGGAGAATGCATCAAGTAAAATGACTTTTGGTTTTGGATGATCGGTTGATACTATATATCTGCTGGGATCATATCCTTCTTTTGGCAATTTCTTGGTTTCTATCACTGGCACCTCCGTTATTTCCACTTCAAGTTTTGTCTCTTCCTTTGTGCCTTTCTCTTCTTCCCTCTTTATCACTATTTCCTATTCTTTAGATTTTGCCACCACATGATTTTTGGGTTCTATATGAAATTAAGGTGCATCCATCATACATAGATCTGTGCCCTCAAGAATGTGGACCTTAGGTTTAGGTAAGTGGGAAGGGGTAATGTATATGCTGAGGTTAAAGGTAAAAGGTAGTGTATAGATAAGGTTAAGATGGGGAGGTGACTGTATTCGGTCATAGGTAGGCAATGGGTTGTTGGTAACATTTGGCCTTTGAGGTGGAGCTTGTAGTGGAGCTATGATTTTGCGGTCTATGAGATCCTGGATCTCATGGTAGAGACAAATGCATCGGTCTGTTTCGTGGCCTTATTGCTGGTGGAAAGTAAAGTATTTGGATGCATCATGCTTGGGTGGAAGTGGATCAAGAAAAGGTCGAGGATCACGAACTTTGAGATGGCCTTTTTATACTAGCATTTTTAGGGCTCGGGTTGGGGTCATATAGAGTGGATGGAAATCATGATTCAGGAATCAGTTTCGATTATAGGGTTGTGGGGTGGCATCGGCAAAAGGGTTGGCTGTTTTAGCTGATGTGGTGACAATACTAACTTCTGATGGCTTCGTGGTTATGTTACTACTGCTAGTAACATTGGAACCGCTAATGAAAGTCTTTCTCACGAGTTCCTTCTCATCTACAATGATCCCTTGTTTCATAGCATCTTCAATTTGGACTCCTATCTCGTGCAAATCTTTGAAAGTAAAGAGTGGGAGAACTATCATTTTTTTGTAACATCTTGCCATAAAGGTTCCTTACCACTATCCGGATCTGATCTTTTTATGAAGGCCTAGTAGTCATCATAGCTTTCTTAGCCCTCCATCTTGTTATGAATTCAACAATGCTTTCTTTTGGTTCTTGGTCAGTGGCTTCCAAATCTCGAGTGGTTACTTCAATTTGTGTATTGTAGGAGTACTAAGCGATAAATGTCTTGGCCAATTTTTCCCAACTTTGCCTCACTTTCTCCTCCAGTTTAGCATACCAAGTAACAGCAATTCTTGATAAAGTCCTCCCAAACAAAGACATTTTTTTTAGGACGAATCAGACCCATGGGTTTCAAAATATTTGGAAATAGGTGGATATATACCATAGGGTCTCCTAATCTATCAAATTGGCCAATATGTGGCATTTTGAATCTTTCCGGTGATTTAACAACTGCTTCTGTATATCGGTCCTCAATATCATGAATGGAATTGATCCCCCCTGAGATTTCTTAAACTTCTGTAACTTGGCTATCTTTAGCACAGCTAGATCAAACTCAACGATATCGAGGGGAAAAAATCCTTCAACTAGATATACCGGGATTCTAGCAGTAGGAGCCTGGGCCAATTCTTTTGGTTGCCTAAAACTTGGGAAATCCTCAATTGGTGGAGGTGGGTCTAGATCTAGATAACTAACTGCCAGTGGATGGGCAGTGGCTGCCCAAACCGATTGTTGCATCCGAGCTATGGCATCGCCTCAAGCGGCTATTGTGTGATTAATAGCATCCATGGACCGTTGAAGATTAGCAATCATTTCTGCGATGTTTGGAAGATTCCGAGCCATTGTAGAGACTAGAGAATGGTTTACCAGGGTACTAAATAGAGGAAATCTGAGGAGTGACTAATGTAAAATCTTCGAAGGAGATCTGAGAGGTGACTGATGCAGACCCTGAATCAATTGTGTTTGTCTGACTCTTCTTCTATATATTGATGGAAGTGACACTAACATTGGATGACCTTGAAGTAGATCTGTAGTTTTGTAGAGCCTACCAGCACGAGTCCACAAGGTATTAGGGGCGTCAGAACTTTCCAAATCTATGATAAACCAACTACCTAGCAAAAGAAAAACAAACAAAGAAAACAAAACACACATTAAACACAAAATCTGACATCATTTTGGCTCACACACATATATTAGGGCATGAATCCGGAAATATTTCAACTCAATTATCACATCTATACCACTGTATACTCCAATGAACTGTTCTGAACCTAACCATTGATATGAAATAATGAGCCCCTATATTGACCCTCATACATAGCATATAGCAAGTAACGTGAACAAAACACCCCTGTGGGGGCTTGAGATACCCTATCCTAGTTTTGGAACGAACTAGGGCTTCACTATTCAATCAAGCGGCATCACTGCATCGTAGACACGGGAGAGCATCATGTCCTAGTTTGTGGAAGTTGTTAGAGCTGAATATATGGACTAGGTCTGTAACACTTCATATTCCTTGGACTAGTGGGATTGCTCTTGTTACTCTTATTATTGTACTTGGAGCCTCTTTGATTCATTTTAGAGTATTGATTAGGGTGGTATCATAATGGTAAAGTAGGACTGAACCAAAAATATTGATTCAAATAATTGTTCTATGTGTCTTCACTCTTTTACCTTTCTCTTTCCACACTTTGAATCTAGATGTGAGGCTAGAACCATTAGAAATCTTGTTTCTGGGCTTCGATTTTGACACAAGAACAATCCAAAATGGAGTCTGAATGATAGAGTTATGCCCATTTGAAGTTTGAGTACTTGTGCTGGAAGCAATTCTGCTCGAGCGAACTTTTGACCACTCGAGCGGTCTATTGGATGTCAGCCACTTTGAAGTCACTTTTTGGTCCAAACATTTCATTATTTCTTCATCTCTTCTCTCCCTCTCCTGCATACCTAAAACCCTAGACCTCCAAACCTTGATTTCATCTATTTTTCACCAAGAATAATCCACCATAGATCTTGCATTAAAGGTGAAGATCAAGTAAAGATCAATATTTTGACCGATTGGATTGCGATTTCTTCGAAGCTCTCTTTGGGTTTTCATCTTATTGCCTCCGTTCCTGAGGTAGGGATATCTTTAACTCGATATATCTATGATTTGGGGTACATGTGTGGTATTTTCCTAAATATAATTATATATGAATTGATTTTTATGAATTAAAGTGGATTTGATGAATAAAAAGGGGTTTATACTCCATATTTTGGAAAAAAACATGGCATAAGTTGATTATTGCTATTGATGATATGAATTAACATTTTAAGTACAATAGAATAAGAAGTCCCAATTTTCCAAAAAAACTCTAGTTTTCAAATTTCATTTAATAATAGGTTTGGACAAATTGACTCTTAAATCTTGAAATTTAGTGAATGATTATGACAATCACTACTACAAAAATGCTTAAAGATCGCACTTAATAAAATTAAAACATGACACTTTTAATAAAAGTATGATTAAAAAAATTAAATTAATATTTTAATCACACCTAATTTAATTAAGTATGATAATATTTATTTTTTTATGTCACTTTTTAATTAAAGGTGATCCTATCATATTTTTTTAGTCACACTTTTTAATTAACCACATTCTTATTCTGAAGCATCCTTATTTTGAATCTGAGGGAAATCGATCGACTCTCTCTGTCTAAACCATAATCTCTCTCTGTCTAAACCATAATCTCTCTCAACCGATTGATTGTAATGATCTGAAATGCTGGTGTGAAGAGGAGGTCTCGCAGTGCCTCCTCGAAGCTTCTCACTGTAACGATCTGAAAACTACGTTTGATTGTATCTCTGATTGGTTCGTCGATGTCAACTTCGTTGGTGTTGTGTGCTTGACGGTTTGAAAGACAGAGTTATCAGGTCGCGATGAATTGGCGAATAAGGTTCACGTTGAGTATGAAGAGTTCAAAACTGATGTCACGGGGTTGTTCCTTTATGTTCATGCTGGAACTGTGACTCTCATCAGGAAACTACTGGTAATGTGATTTTAGTCTTTGATTTTGATTGTATCTGTTCGATCAACTTCTTGTTTCTTGCTCTATTCTATATCACAAAAGTCATTTTGATTTCATTTCACTTATTTTGAAGTGTTTCATATGTTAAAAATGCTAAATTTTCGATGTGTTCATTTACATGTTTGTTTATCTGCATTTTGTTGATCTTTACCTCTCTTTCTCTCTCATTCACTCATCGTGTTATTTTCCTTATGGCCTTCACTCTGTGTATTTAATTCAATTCAAAATCTGAAACCAAGTGCCATAGTGATTGTCTCTTATGTTTTGATTGACTTACGATTAAAATTTGCACTGATTATGGCCCAGCAATTTAGTAAATTAAAGACAATCTTGGAAGCATAAAGATTTATGGGCTGTAAATATCTGAAGGAACCAAAAAGTCATGGTACAAAAAGTTTACTCTTGGACTGCCTTTAAATTTGAAATTGAAGTTTTATGGCTTTCGGTACATACCCGAGTATATAATTGTTGGAAAACTATATAAATTTGACAGAGCTCCTTCTATCCGAATGTTTTGTTTCCTAATGATGGCATTGCAATTAAACATGTAGGATTCACATTGGAATTACCCAAGTATTTAAGTGTTTCCTATGCAACTATGCAACGATCAGAAAATTGGTAATGAGATCACTTCTGATGCCCATCTACTTCCAGCAACTAATGTCAATTACATAGATGGTCTTGTTATCTTTGCCTATATGAATTCGACAAGGTATCTCTCTCTCTCTCTCTCTCTCTCTCTCTCTCTCTCTCTCTTCTTTGTTCCTGTGCATATATTTCAACTTACTCCTTTTGTTTTCTTATTGGTTCCATTACATAACAGTGATCCACGAGGTCGTATAACGGCTACAATTATAGAACTGAAAGAAAAAACCTGCTTCAATCATGGCCCTTTTCTCCTGAAGGGGTCCAAACAAAATCACACCAGAGATCCTTAAGGTTTGACCAAGATTTTTAGTTTCCTTGATGGAGTTCCACTGTATTAGTTATTTCGTAATTTCATATATGTATCACAATTGGAATAATTTGATTTCTTAAATATTGTATTTTCTTTCTTCATATAAATTGAAGTTTAGTAATTCTTGTGTATGATCTTTTTTGCTAGACCTTCATTACTATATATGCTTGTCACATATCCTCTATGTGGTGTACCAGGTTTCTGTCCATAGGTGTTTTGACTTGTCTACCTTCAAAGGCCTTCTATGCAATTTTACTAAAAATGCCTTTCATGATCATCTTCTTCTAACCAAGGTTGTCAATTAATTTTTCTTAGTCTATTGTGTTATTTTTCATCAAGCTTTTTTCATTCAGTTGACTTCATGCTTTCCTTAAAGTATTTGAGGATGCACCTTTTGCATAAGGTGGTTGCCCCCTTTTCTTTTATTTCTTTATTTATTTTTTGTTTCCCTCCTCTTTGTGTATAATATATATGTTCATGTTGTTTATGTGAAAATGATCACATTTGAGGTGGCTTGTGTTCACTGTGCCTGTTATTTTATTGTTTTGGATTTTGTTGGATCATGCCTAAGCTCTTGATATGAAGGGATATTGGCATATGGGTTCTGTGAGCAACAGATATAGACAATCTTCGATGACGGTGCCCTTTAGTTGTTTTGAGGATTACTTGTTGAACTTGGTGGAAAGAATAATCGCATATTACTTTTATTTATTTGTGTATATATATACATTTTGGTTTTGAAGGTTGAGGAAGTCCTAATATTCTTTTGTAAGTTCTATGGGAGATTTGAGTTATTTGGTAGGGAGCTTTTTTTTTTTTTTTGCTCATCTCAATGTGCACATGGTGGTTTGCATTCCAACATTTTTTTTGTGTGGACTTTTCTTGCTATGGAAAGTGGCAAGGGGAACTGTTTCACTGTAGTCTCTAGTGAATTTCTCCAGCCAGTTTCCAATTAAGGCTTTGGTCTCAAGGGATGCATTCTACCAAACAAGACCACCCTAATGCTGAGGAAAAAAAAAAAGAAAGAAGTATTCCACTGCACACAACTTTGACTACTAAATGGTGCCTATTTGGTGGAAATAAAAACAAAATTAAGATGGTTATTTTCTGTTTATTTATTTATTATATATATAAGCAGAGAACTGCCGTAAACGCCATTGACTCTCAATTTGCATTGGGTCAAATAATGCCTCAGACTAATTACATATATGAAAAATGGCACCGTATCAAAATTTTGCATAAATATCACAAGAAGTGGTAGATATTGGGTCCATGATATTTAAAATGCATTCTTTTGTTTTGCAATGTATGCACCATACATATGCTTATTTGATTAAGCATTTGCACAAGTGGCCGCTCTTAGTTCTGCCGTCTCAAATTGGAGTCACCACAGCATGAAACAAGGATCCTTTGGGATTCACAAATCCGAACTCATCTATTTGAGGCCTAAATCATGGATAGTATGGCCAGATATGTAAGCTCACCCATTTTGTGGTTTCAACAGAAGCTATCATAGGATTTAAGCTTTGAATGTAACATAAAACTGTAGATCCTAAATGAAGGATACTTAGTGCTTGTTCGGAAAATTATTTTAGTTGGCTTTTTGGCTTTTTGATTGGGTGTTTTGGCTTTTTGGGTATTTTAACCAAAAATCCACCATCCCAAATGGGGCCTTAATCTGTATTGCTTGTCATAATATGTTGTACGTGTTTCTTTTTCTTATTTAATTTTTTATGTGATGTGAAGCTGTAATTACCTCGTCTGTAATATTTTGGTAATGACAAACATAAAAACTTTATTGATTTTGATGAAGATACTTCTTTTGATGAGAAAGTTAGGTTTCCTTGTTCTTTTTTCTCATGCCCTTTTTTATATATATGATAATTCAACACCAAGACGCACTTCTTGTCATTGCCTTTTGACACTGGAAAAGTTCCAGTGTCATATATTCATTCAAATTCACTTCTGAATGTTCCAAGGCACTTTGTGTTTGACACTGGCATTTTTACATTTATTACATGGTTGTTAAACTAAGCGAGTGAATTATGAAACCCTTATTGCTGAACCATGTATTATTAGATTCATATTTTCATTGACTGTGATAAACTTTTCTCCTATTTTCAAATTTGCTATGTCAATTTCGACTTTATTCCGTCTTTTAGGATACTGCTGACAGTCCTCCACCCGATGAACATGTAAAAGAAGAGCACGATGAGTGTGACCGTACTTTTGTGCTGAAAGATGATCTTGGTTATGTTTGTCGAATTTGCGGAGTGGTTTAGAGAGGAATCGAAACCATAATTAAGTACCAGTACGCTAAGGTATGTATACCTGTTCTTGGAAATTTTCCATGCAAGTATGTGTGCTCATAATTATTATTCTGATTTTGATGTTAGCTGCTTAAATTAAATGTATGAAAGCTACTATGAAGTTATATAATGCATCTGGCAGTTTTTGTTCATCCTTATGTTATTATACATGTTTGGTCTGTTTTTCACTCCCTGCACGTGTGGTTACTAAAACTAAACGCTGAACTAGCTCAATGGAAGATTTCATGATTTTCCATACTGAGGTGTTACATGGACATACTTGCATCCCATGTTGCATGGACTCTTCTAAAAGTACTTGTGTAAGACACTTGATACTTGGGTAAGGTCGTACACATATGGGATATGTATCTGATATGCTATTTGGAGAAGCACCCAACAAATATGTACAAGCAGTCGAATTCACTATCTAACTAAGCATAAGACTTCCATTGTATACATAAATCTCTACTTGATGTTTGCAAACATCATTTTACCCTTAGAATATAAAATAAGTAAAAACTGTGAAATATAGACATATCCTAGTTACCTTGACATAAGAATCAAATGAATATGACATTTAGACTCATATATGCACCCGACATTCGTACTTGAGTCCATAAAACATGGCTTACATCAAAGGGCTGGAAGTGGCTTGGCTTTTGAGTTGTGATGGACCTTCAAAAGAGCATTTTTGTTTAAAGATCATTTTATGAAGGAAAATTCTATATATAATCCTATTTCTTACCTCATTTTCTCACTCCTAGACACAAGTGAATGGGTTCCATGTGTATTTGTTGACGTGGGCCCCATTGCTTTGTGTCTTGGGGTGAGAAAATGAGGTAAGAAATAGGATTATGCATAGGATCACTCTTTGTTGGCATCTTTGTTTTCATGAAGTGAATGCTTTGTGTCCTTCCTATTACTGATCTGATGTTCAAATAATGAATACTAAAAAATTCTGGGTTTATTTCATGTCTGATTGTCTTACACATTCAATTTGTTATGTACGTCCTAAATTGTCTGCTTCAGGCATTGGTCTAGTGACCAATTTTTAAAGTTCTTGTAGTTAGATAAGATATATTAAGGTTTTTCCATGGTCTATACAGGTAGTTGTTAAAGTAGTAAAATATGCTTTATTTGCTTAATTCTTTTGCAACTGGAAGACAAGGGTAATGATTTTTAGTGATTGGTTTTTGGGAGCTTAGGTTAAATTGGCTTGGGTTTGGGTTAACTTTTATGATATAGGAATTTTTTTCCATTTGTTCATCTTAGGTAATGCTTCCTTTTAAAAACAATACATCTTGTAGTCAAACTATTAAAAACAAATATATTTGAGCCAAGCCGAGCTAAACCTCACAAATAGTAAGTTTATTCATATACTTCTAGCGGTCTCTGAATTAATTTGTATTTTCATTTTTTAGGTCAGAAATTGCTTAGAGAGATACAAAATATGGTCAAAGAATTTAAGAAATTTATGTTTTAAGTTTTTTCATTTTTTAATATATGTAATCACAGTTAAAAACTTTTTATCAATTCTTTTGTTTATACTTTTAAACATTTAACTTTTATTTATGAAATATATGACGTTATTTCATTCAATATGTGGTGATTCAAAGGATAATATATAATTTGCATTACATTCTTCAAATGCGCATACAAAAATAATATTGATTATTCTTCAAATATGTTGAACTTTTTTTTAATCACATGCATTAGCTATGATGAGAAATACATATAACGTGTGATCTTATCTCATTTTTAATTGCATGTTTTATTAGATATTAATCATACTTAAAATTTGTGATTTAAATGTTTATTATCACAGATTTTATTAGTTATTAATCACACTTAAAAGATGTTATCTAAATGTTATTAATCACACTTAAAAGATGTGATCTAAATATTTATTATCACACGTAAAACGTGTGATGGAATTATTTTTTAATGGCACTCAAAACGTGTAATTAAAAATGACCTTTCTTAATCACTCCCAAAGATCACACTTTGACAAAACTTAAAACGTGTGATTAAACAACATATATCATACATAAGAGTGTGATCTATTTATAATTTTGTAGTAGTGAATGGTGTTGAGATACTAGGTTTTTGAACTTTCTTGGATATATGTATTGAGATTGGTAGATGTTGAGATTATGGAAATTGTGAGATTGGAAAAATTCTTTAATTGTTGATATTGTTAAATGTTGTGTATCGAACAAACCTTAGGGAAATTAGGATTGAAAACTCATGCATCATGTGCATTACGATTTTCTCTTGTGATCTTACAATATTGTGTTTGTTTAGAAAATGTTGAAAGGGGGTAAATAGCGTATGAGTCTGGGTAGTTGAGTTGGATTTTGGGAAATGGTTGTGTATTGTATTGATACCCGTATGGGGAGTTAAGGTGCCCAATTGTCCTGTCTTGAGCTTATCACCGGACAAATGTGGAAAAGTGTTTTTGAGTGTTCATTGATCCTGCCGTATAGTAGTCGGTAAAAGTAGGAAAACAGATGATTTTGGGTGCTCATTCCCTGTTGTATTAATATTCGACAAATGTGAGGTATTTTCTGTATATAAATCTATGTATGTTGGTATAGTTTTGTGACACTTATTTGAGACGTCATAGTGTATTTACCACCCCATGGTTGTGAATGAGACTTTGAATGGAAATCATGCATTGAACATTTTCGTTTTTTTTTTTTTTAAAGATAAAATATAGATTTTGTAACAAGTGCATGGCATGATCATATGCATCTTGATTATTTATATAACTTGTTAATAGTATTTCTTATAGGGTAATAGCTCACCCCAAACTAACAGCATTTTAGGAAATGTTGGTGTGATTCCGCCGAAGTGACTGGCGATGGATATGTTTTGACTGGAGCATGAAGGCGCCCTAGATGTTACTTGTTGAAGCACCAAAGCTAATTTGTGGTTTGGGATTAAATGTCTATTTTTGTGTAATCAAAGACTATCCTTGAAAATGTGTATGCCATTTGGGCGCTTTACTTTTGTATTCTCTTACCCTCTGAATGGTTATTATTCATGACTGTATGTTAATGAACAATGATGTATATATTTCACTTGGAATAGTGCAATGATAAAGATATTATTTCGGGTAAAAGACTTGTTCTTTAATGGTATTCATTATAATGGTTGGAAAATATTTAATGAATTCATTGTAATGGGGTGCTTTCATTCACTAACCCTTCCCTTTTGTACCTTAGCTCCTGAATTGATAATCTCTGTTTATGACGAATCAGGTCCTTAACTTAGTTTTCGTTATTAAAGGTTTCTTAATTCCCCATAAAATTAAGTGGCGACTCTTTTGATGTGAGATAAAAACAAGTTGGCACGACATAGGTGGAAACAACCCTTATTGTGGGATGCCTTTGGGTTTACCAAGGATGCCCAACAGTTTAGACTCACAATTTCTGATCTAATATCACTAGTGTAGTGTAAAATAGAAAATGAGAGTCCAAATCTAGCAATTTTTAGAGAAAACCCATTTTATTGCAAAACATTTGCCATGAATGGATTACATCACTAGATTTCAGAGTCGCCACGTGATCTTTTTGCGAAAATTAAGAAACCCGTGACACCTACCAATGGCCACCACCATCAAAACCAAAGTGTCTTGGCTCAGGAACTTAAGTATAAGAAGGGAAGATCAATAATTGTGCACCTCCTTCACCTGATCAAAAGATCGGTCTATACTAAGTCATGATGTGGTTTTTATAATCAACATATATACATGTTCCGGTTATTAATAACGCTACCATTACTATCTAAGGCATGCAAATATAGATTGTGCCATTAATTTTGGTTACGCTTTGATTTGATGCATTTTTTGAAAAGCCTTTTTGTACAAACTCACAGCATGAGAATCAACTACATTCCAACATAAGCAACACAACCTGCATCCACTGGCATTCAAACAGATATCTTATTTAAGCACTTAACCTCATGGTATGGCAATAAATATGGTATTTAACACACACATACAACATGCTAAAGCAAAGAAACGCTCACCAAGTACTCCAAGATGAGACAAAATAATATGTTATATACATATGCGTGATCGTATATACAACTAATTAATGCAAGACATACACGACATACACCTAGAAGTCTGGATACTGAGATATGCCATGGATATCACTTCAAGACGTGGAAAAATGCATGTATTCAGCTTTGAAAATAATAAATTCCACAAATGCGGATGAGCCCGAATGCATGAAAAAATAGATGCAATATATAGGCATGATAAATAAAATATGATATAATACGGAAAGCATGCAAATAAAAGGGTTAGAAAGACGCAGGGTTGGAAGATTATTACAACAATTCGAATGAGAAAGGAGGGGAGAGAGAGATTATTACAATAATGAATCGATTCAGCCAAACTACTGCTAAATCTAACAAATTATGCTAAGTAAAGCAAATAAACTATCTAGAAGCTCTAGAACTCCTAGGAGAACAATCCCCAAAAACTGTATACTTTGTTCTTGAGAGGAGGTATTCGGCCAAACACAAAAATGGGCCAGCTGAATAGGAAGTGATCGGCCGAATTCTTCTTCCGGCTGGGATTTAGGTTAGTGCAGAATTCCAGGACAGGGGCCAAAAGACACTTTCTGAGGGGTGCTCATCCCTTCTAACTCCTCTGCTCACAAGGATCACTTGGGAAAGAGGTGCACGGGCTATAACCCTCAACAATGATATAAACAAATATATAAAATAGATATTTTGCAATATATCCACAATTAAATGAATAAAAAATGAGAACAAATTGAAGCCCAAGAAATGGACAGGAACCTACATCTTCTCTTTGTGAATAAGGGTAAATCAATACTCAAATCCATGCTATTAAGGGGAGAGCATAGATTAATGCATATCATTTCTTGGTGGAAGCTTTGCTTATTAAAACAAGAGATTCATCAAATTTATTAAAAACTCCTCATCTAGTCATAAAATAAGGGTGGTTACACCCCTTTCTATGTTCACAAATTATTGAGAAGGGAGGTTTCAACTTCATTTGACCCAAAATCTCTTGTTTTACTTCCAAAATACTCAATGAAGAAGTAAGGACATAACGTTTCCAACACCAAATCCCATGGATCACCCAAGCAATTCTATGAAACAACCCATAGCACTCATTGACATTGAGTAAGGAATTGAAACACGTGGATTGATATACTTGCAAGACAGGATAAATGAAGAGGAGCAGTGTAACAAGAAGAAAAGCTATTTTACTTGTTGAACTTGTGAATGGATGGCTAATAGTTACTCCCAAACACATTTACAAGGGTCCAATGTACGTAAGCACTTGAATTTAAAGCAAAGGAAACCAATAAAGTGAAGAAAGGCTATCAATTCAATGGATGAGCGGCTAAATCTACTCCCTCCACATCCATGAGGACTTGTTACATCTCTACAACAGATACATAGTGAAAACAAAGCTTGAAATAAAGAAAGGAGGACAGAAATATGATTAAAGGAGCAAGAATATCTCCTAGGAAGGTAGATCCTTTTGATTGACGAACTCCCTTTTAATCCCCTTAAGTCACTTTAGATGTATTGTTTAACGTCCAAGAGTCTTAGCAACGAGCTTAGAATCAAGCTTTAATAGAGTTTTGATGTCCAAAGCCAAAGGGTGTTAGGTAGGAGATGTGGTCAAGAGAGAGAAGGGTCAAGAGGCTCTTATGAGGTTCGGGCAAAACTTCCACCCCTTTGAAATGAGCTATCGAGCTCCATTTATAGAGCTCAGGTTGTAAATATCTTAGATATTTGTGGTAGGTAAGCAAAATAAACTGAAATTCCCAAAAATGCTCTGTACTCAGAACATTCAGCCGGCCGTTCCTCTTGGTGATCGGCTGAGTGTATTTTTGACCGGCCAACCTATGGTGTCCGACCAATCAGAAAACCAATCATCAAATCAACAAGAGAAAGTTAGCTGAATTGACAAGAGAAATAGGTATTTCAGAGGATTTCATCCCCTCCATTCATTCTTACCATATTCTTTGCCCAATTTGTTTGAAAGAATACAATACTTTGATTTCGAAAATATGAGCCTCAAAACATAGTGATAATGTCTAGAATTGCACCACTAAAATTCATTTTGAAATATGGTTTTCATTTTGGTTGAAAGGCATTTTGTCCAAAACAGGTCTTTAGATGGTTTAAAGCTTGGTTCTTAGGCTTCTTGCCATAGAACTTGTAAGGTTAATACATCTCGTGTTCATCATCGGGAACTCCAAAGAGAGCGCCCAAGTCTTAAGGTTAGTAAAAAATGGAGTGTCTACACTTATATCCGTAAAAGGCATGGCGTCCACACTATCCATTTCTGCTTGAATTGGCACAGTTTTGTAAAACAAAACCCAAAATATATAAATTTAACTGGGAGCCCAGGACATATGACAGTAACAACAAAAGAGAGACTCTGTACAGTTGTGTTCATTTTCAGGCTTTTGATGAACCAGAAAATACAGATGATCCTGCCAGCATTTTTAAAACATCGCTCACGATACACTATATGCGTTCAGTTAAAGAGCTCTGTTACTTTAAACACAAAAATTGAATGACCATAAATTATTTTTAAGTGAACAACATACCCACAAATTGGTTGACTATACTGACAACAGAACCACTAGAACAGAGCAACAAAAGCAAAACTTAATTAGTATAAGAAAATTGGGATGGAGATGGAGGCAAACCAACTTCAACAACACCTTCAAGCATCTGAGTAACTTTCCTCATTGTAGGCCTCAGAGATGGATCTTCTTGAATACACCAAATTCCAACCATCAGGAATCTCTCCAGCATCTTCCAATCATTTAACGCTTCCATATCGTTTTCAACCAAAGCATCCAATTTTCCATCCTGAAAGCAGTCACTAGCCCAATAAGTCAGAATTCCTTTCTCTTCTTCACCATTCTCCAAATCGCAAACACTTCTTCGACAAGTAATGATCTCTAGTAGCAATACACCATAGCTATACACATCAACCTTTGCAGTGATTGGCTTTCTGTTGAACCACTCTGCTGCAACATACCCTTTTGTCCCTCTAATAGTAGCAGGATTGGTCTTACTCTGATTCAACATCAGAAGTTTAGCCAACCCAAAGTCTGAAATTCGAGCATTGTAATAATCATCCAGAAGTACGTTCTGAGGCTTTATATCACAATGGATGATCTGGGTACTGCATTCTTCATGTAGGTACACAAGTCCTCTGGCAATCCCCAATGCAATTTGGGTCCTTTGGTTCCAACTAGGTTTCTTTTCCCCAAAGAGAAAGCTTGCTAAAGTCCCATTGCTCAAGAACTCGTAAACTAACATCCGGTGTTGTCCTTCATCACAAAATCCGAGCAAGCAGACCAGATTCTTGTGATGTGTCTGCCCAATCACATTTACTTCAGCTTTGAATTCCTTCTCTCTCTCTTGAACCAACCTATCTAGTTTCTTCACTGCAACAACAACAACTCTGGAACCCATTTGTATCGCCCCTTTGTAAACAATACCGAAAGCTCCGCTTCCCAGTTCCTCCTTGAAACCATCTGTAGCTTCTGCAACCTCTTTGTAGGTAAAACAGCGAAGATTCGTTTCAGCAGCACAGTGATCGCCATGACTGTTTTTTATGCTTTTCTTATGGTAGATGACGAAAAAGCCCAAGCAAACGGCACCAATAAATACAAAATTGATAAACAAAGAGCTACCCAGGAAAACCGATCCAACGATAATTAAAGTCCCCCCTTTCTTCTCTGGTTTTGGAATTGGAGGAGGAGGAGGTCGTACTAGAGGAACATCACTTTTCCTAAACTTCAAGAAAGCCTGACCATTAACAGATCTATCCTGTCTCCCATTTGAAAGGGGTAGCTTCTTCTTGAAGCAGCTATCATTTAACAAAAGGGCAACAACACAGAAACAGTCGTTGAGGCAAGACTTTCTGCACAGATCTTCACTTGCAGGTTGCAAGTGCTCATATTTACACGTTAGCCAAGCAGTATCTTTTAGAGGAAGAAGATCGTATAGCTCTTCCCCGGAATTGATGTCATCTTCTGAACAGCTGTGTGAGAAATTTGGCTTGCAACTTCCATACGTATTGTTCGGATCAAGTAACGAATACCCTGGCGGGCATTTGCATTCTGGCCTTTTATATACATTGAGGGTGCAAATGCTGTTAAACCCACAAGCCCCACTGCCTTCCTCTCCATTAATATTAAGACATATATTATCTGGCGCTGACCAAATTGGAGTCCACTTTGTACTGCTATCAAAACTCTTTGGATGATAATATTGGGTGAAAACTCCATCAAAATTAAGAGTTGCTCTGTGATAGTATTCAGTAGTTGGGAATAATAGTTGTTGTGGTGTGAGATCAAATCTTTGGTTATTCCTTCTCAATATGTACATGAATCCTGCATCATTGAAGATCACTTGGTAACCAGAATTGGACGAATTGTTGGGGTCGAAAGTACCACTGATATAGTAAGCATCATAAGCAAAATTGGTAGTGATGTCTCTTGTATTAAGCACAAGATTCCCATCCAGGAGCAAACGAAATTGAAACCTTCCCTGCGAGAAATTGGTCTCCGAAAGGCGAGAAAATATTACCCCACCGGACTCCATAATCTGTGTAGGCAACGTGGTATCAGTTGGATATTTGAAACTCTCCCATAGATTGAAGGAATCGCTGCGCACAAGCAGAAAGTTGCCGGTATCATTCATAAAACCATAAGCAACACTGTCGACAATGAACTGAGACTTCCACAATTCATTGCCTTGAGGGTCACTGAGCACTAGCCCTCTGTCACCAGTTAGGTCTAGTTTGGATCCAGTTGAGATAGGGATACCATCATTCCCATACCAGACAACGGTTTGGTCGGGTATTTGGTGGTACCATATGGAAAGCAAGAAGAGATTCTTTTCCTGAAGTGGTTTAAACCCAAATGCAAAAACACCAGAGGGTGACAGCCATGGGGTATCCTTGGTATTTGCAGTGATAGATGTACCCACAGCTACGGTACCATTAGTCTGAGCAACAGTAGAAAATGGCAGGAGGAACAGTAAGAAGAAGAAGAAGAAGAAGAAGAGATGATGAGGAAGAGCACAAGCCATTGATAGATCAAGCTGGAGTTAGGTGATTTATTAAGGTGATTTGTTTAATAGAAACTTGTAATACATTCTCAAATTTTGATGGCTATATATGCAAAGTTCTTGTCTTGAGCATTTGAGTTTTTGACACCTTTACCAACAAAAGCTTGTGTTGGTTTGAGAATTTGGAAATGTTTCCAAAATCTTCAACTAAACACGGTATTAGAATCAAATAGCCCACACGACTTAGAAAAGTCTGATCTTAGAATCTTGACGAGCAAAGTCACTGTAATATTATTATTATTATTTTTTTTTGTGGTAATTTCATTTTAGCATTACTAGCACTCTTTTTGTGTCAGGCCACACCTCTTTTTAAAAATGAAGACCTTTATGTAATTTTTGAATTTTAGATTCGTGAAGTGAAAAATATGAAAAGGAGCTAAAGTTATGTTTGGTTTTGATTTTTTGGCTAAAAAACACAAAAGAAAAAATTGATTATATAAGTTAATAAGACAAAATATTACATTCAAACCATAATTATGATACTTTCTCTCCCACAAAAGTTTAAAAAATCAAAAATAAAAATCAAACAAAGCTAAAAAAATGGGGCTAAAATGATTAAAAAAATCAAAAAATAAGGCTATTTTAACTCTTCCAAAGGAATACTGAATTACTTATTTATTTCTATGGACAATCAAACAAAAATGCCTATTTTTTTTCTTCTCACTTTTCTATTCCAAAAATAAATAAATAAATGAATTTAGCTTCTTTCAACTCATTTTGTTTCGTTTATATTTATCTCTTCTTTTTATTTTCTTTCTTAAATAAAAAAATCCAAACATACCTTCAAAGTACCCGCAGAAGTCATTAAGATTGATACTAGAAATGAAAGATAATATAAAACAGAAAGAATCACGAAATATATACCCACACATAAATAAGCTACCACTAGAAGAAAAAGTACTTTTGGCGATTAAATTTTTAGTCTCTAAAAGTCAACTTTTTAGTTTCTCCGACTAAATTTTTTAGTCGCCGGTTTTGTCACGAAAACATGATCGCCGGAGGTTTTAGCGACTAAAAAGTTTTAGTCGGCAAAAAACAGGTCTTTAGCGACCAAAGTTTTGGTCGCCAATAGTCAATTATACTTTTTAAAATTATATATTTAGCGACTAATCTTTTAGTCGCCAATAGTCAATGAATCGCCGACTAAACCGTTTAGTCGCCAAAGGTTGTTCCGTGAAAAAAAAAAATACTAACTTCCTTTGCTTTTTCTGATTCTAAACCTTTAGCACCACACTCTCTCCACTATGCCACTACAACACCATATGAATGTATATGCAACATATATTATTTAAATACTATATTGACCCGTATTAATATAAAACTATATATATAAGCATAATTATTTTTATTCAATATAATTTATGTAAAAAATAAATTATTTACTAAAAAAATTGAGAGTACTTTTGGCGATTAAATCTGTTTTTTAGTTGCCAATTCTATAGTTTTGGCTACTAATTATTTTTTAGTCGCTAAAAAAATTAATTCCCGCCTAAAAATAACCACTTTTGGCGACTAAACTTATTTTTAGTCGCCAAAACCTTCACTTTTGGCGACTAAACTAAATTTTTGTCGCCGATTGTATACTTTTAGCTACTAAATTTTTCTTAGTAGCCAAAAAGCTTCACTTTTGGCTACAAAATTTATTTTTGTCCGTCAAACACGTATAATCGGCGACCAAACTATTTTTTAGTCGCCAAAACCTATATTTTTAGCGACTAAATTTTTTTAGTTGCCTAAAACCTTCACTTTTGGCTACTAAAATTTTTTTAGTCGCTAAAACCCATATAATCGGCGACTAAACTGATTTTTAGTCGCCAATGACTACACATTTGGCTACTAAACTGTTGAGAGAGCCCAAAATTACGACAATTTTATCAAACTAGAAATTGATTTTTATATTTTAATTAAACAAAAGACGAGAAAATGAGAGAGACATCTAGAAGAAAATGTAAGGACATATGGCATCGGAAGACTAACATTGAAGAAGATGTCAAAACAACATCAGCTCTTGATTATTTTTGTATTGTTTCTTTTCTTTTCTTTTTTCATTTTCTTTTTTTCAAGCAATAATTGAGTTCATAGCATAATCTCTAAGGTATGCCTTCCCTATAGTTAAAGAGTTGTTTGGGATATTCTAAATAAGTATATTTTTTGACTTTTTATAAAATATGAATTGAGTTTGAAGTGATGGGATAGAGAAGTGATGTGACTTAAATAATATGATATGATTTAAATAAAATAATAATTTTTTGACCTTTTAAACTTTTTTTTTGGTATATACCAACCCAGGCTTAGTCTTTGGTCAACACGCTTTAATATTATTATCCCTTAGAAACGGCGTCATTGTGGGTCATTAGTTTGGTTTCAAATTACGCTTTCCCTGTAGTTGGTCTTTGGTCAACACTCTTTAATATTATTATCCCTTAACAAACGGCAACATTGTGGGTCGCTAGTATGGTGTCAAAGACTCTATTAGAGCCACATATATAGCTGCTTGGACATTAAAAGTCCATACAATAATATACTGATAATCGTCACAATGTTTACTTTTATATGATATACAACCACTACAGGAAAAATGATTCTTGCTGGTGTTTGAAAAACACCTATGTAGAGCATAAAAACATCGCAAAAAGTTTTAGTGATGTTTTAATCCGAGTGTCGATGATGTGGCCATCGCTATAACTTTATGACACTTTTAAAAATGTTGATAAAAACCTAGAGAACACGTTTTACTAAATGCCACTAAATACATTGAAAGATAATATGCTGAACTATAGTAATGTTTTTAAAAACGTCACTGTAATTTCTTTTCTTTTTAAAAAAATAAAAAACAAAAGGAGGGAATATAGGTGTAACGACCCCAACATACATATCATGATTATAATTATTTAATTATGTGTTATTTATTAATTGTAATATGTGTAATGTGATTAATTTGAAAATATATGTTCAATTTAGGAACTATCTGTTAATCATAGAAAAATCTGTTGTGATTTTTGCTTTGAATATGACAATGAAGGTCTTATTCGTGCCAGAAACCAAAATTGAGTGCATGATTAGATTAATTGGAATTTTTAAAACCTTATGACAAGTTTAATTAAAAATTGATTTAGATTAATTAATCAAGTTGTGTTTAATTGGTTTAATGTTCTAATTATTGTATTGTGCTATCCTAGCTATATATTTGAGCCTTAAGCTCATTCTTGAGCTCATTTCTCCTCCTTTGAAGTGCAAAAATCTGAAATTATACTTTTAGAGAGAGAGTGACCTCTCATCTAGAGAGAGAAAGTATAAGATTGAAGGTGACCTTGAGGATGTAGCTTGAATTAGTCAATATTGTGCAAAAACAAGTGTAATTGAAGCCTCTAAGTAAGCATCTAACTCTTAATCCTTGAAGATGATGTGATTTAGAGTTGAGTTCATGGCTTCTATGTGACTATTTGCATGCGTTTTGTCAATTAAAGTCAAGAAAGTAAAGAAGTTCTACATGCAAGAATATGTTGAATTTTGGCATATTGAATTTCAATTCTAGCATCTATGTTGAAATTATGAGTTATATTATACATGTATGTTTTATCCATCATCTGTTAACTTTAAAATTTTTGGAAAAGGATTTTGTACATGCATGGAGCCTTTGAGCTCAAATTGCTAAGTTCATGACTTTTAGAAAGAGATCATTATATGCATGGCAAAAACATGGGATTTTGAATTTTGTTTTGGAAAACTGAAGGAGATTTGAGTATGAGGTTTCATAATTGCCATGAATTTATGCATTAAGATGAGTTTCTACATGTTTCTAGTAAGCCATGCGAACTTTGGTCATGAAAGATGCATTTTTTAACTTCAAGAGCAATCTGGAAAATCCAGAAATTTTGTAGATTCCTTGAGCAACCAAGTGTGCGCTCGAACAAACTTGACGAGCTCCCAGTACTTTTGCAATCTTTACAGACAGCTCGAGCAACCAAGTGTGCGCTCGAGCAAACCCTCTGAATATAGCTGGACCACTCGAGCGACCAAGTGTTGGCTCGAGCGCAAATTAGACCCATCCAGTACTTTTGCAAACCTACGTCATCGATCAAGCGACCAATAGATGGCTCGAGCAAAGACCCCTGCTTCAGCATATTTTGACAAGCTCTTCAATGTTCATATCTTCGTTCTTATCTTCTCTAGAGCATTTCTAAGCATGATTTGTGACTTAATAAGGAACTAATAAGTGAGAACCAATAGGAATGATTGAATTAAAAAGAGACGATGAATTATTTGGTTCGAACAATGTGTTCCAATGTGTATATATGAATTGTGTAGGTTTGAACAATGTGAAAGAACACCAACCTACTCAAGATGAGTAATATCTTAGTAAATATATTTTCTCTTATTCTATTTTTTGACTGGACAATGCGATATGCTTTTCTGTACTTATGGATTTGAAAGTATGAATAAGCCTTCTATCTATACGCTTGATATGTTTTATGTAATGTATATTTATGTGGACCCGAGGCCGTTCTGCTATGTGTTGGGCCTGAGGCCGTTGATGTATTGGGCTTGAGGTTGTGATGACCCCACTACATATAATGATTAGCACTTGATTAATTAAGAAGATTTGAAATTTAATTGCCAATTATTCTATTTAATCTGCGGTTTACAAAATTATGGAAATTGATCACTACAACAAAAAAAGGTTTTACAGCGCAGAATGCACACCGTAAAAACCCTTCTACGACGTGCAGCTCGTGTCATATTATAACCAATTATGAAAAGTTATTCACTTTCAACGACATACTTCGTACGCCGTTAAAAACTATTTAATGACAGATTTTGTACGTCGTTCTTTTTTCTACGACATGCTATAATACGCCGTTAAAAACTATATAACGGCAAATTTTATGCTTCGTTACTTTTTCTACGACATGATATAATACGTCGTTAAAAACTATTTAATGACAGATTTGGTGCGCCGTTTTACTTTTTCTACAACTACTTTTGCACACCGTTAATTGGTGAGACAAATAACGACGCTGATTGCATGTCGTAAAATATGTAATACGACTTAATATGTCTGTCGTAAAATATGTAATTTTTTTTATTTTTAAGTTGAACAGGTTTTATTTGACCAATTTTGTACAATCTAACAAATATTACAAACAAGCATCACAAAAAATCAATCAGCCACCATTATATTGTTTGAAACATCAAAAAGAAACTATATCCACAAATTATAAACATTTAACAATTATCTATACATTCCAAACATTCAAAAACTATATCCTTAAATTCTAAACTGTACAAAAAGTTTAAACCATCCAAAACTATACATATCTAACTTTCTAAATGAGTCACACAAACAAAAAATATAAATCCTGCAAAACACAAATAAGTCTCAAGTCTAATGAAGCACAAGATTTCAGGACCCAAACCATAGAATCCACATTCCTTTGCAAATTCTCTATCACCAATATAGTCAGGACCTGTCATAGAAAACACCTTCTCAATATAAGTTGAATAGACCACCAAATTGGCAGACAAAAAACATCAATTGTATTTGAATTTTACATTAATGAACAAGCCAACTAGGATTAGAATGAGAGGATTTATCATGATTATATGTGCACATGCACACACACACAAATGTTGTCCTATCCTAACTGTGTCAACATCCCATTTTCAAAAAATTCAATAGATTGAAGCATATGTTTCTGTTCTCAATATATATACACCATGAACTGGTGCAAACTATCCACCCTTACTTCTTCTAACTTTTTAGTTATTTATTGTTTCTTAAAGTTGCTTGTGACAGATAAAATTGCTTCTTCAAAAAAAAAATTAAGAGAGAAAGAGACAGACAGACAGACAAACAATAAAAGGAATGATAGTGCAATTGTTCTTTAAGGCATAACAAGCATTGGATGCCAATAATGTTTTCTATCACCAAAAGGTCAGACCCAATGATGTGTAAGTGATATAATTGGTTAATAATTAGAGAAAATATGAGATAAAGTGTTACATTTACTATCCTAATTAATTGCCACATCATTGAACTTAAAAAGTGAATCTAATTTTGTCTTGAATAGTAATGCTCAAAATTTAAATATAAAATTGTCAATGCATTTGTGTTTGTACCTTAGATATAAATCACACTAATAATTCATTCAATACATGGCACCTGTTGGTAATTTAGGAATATAGGAGTGATTGTATCCTGTATTGCTCATGAGAGAGAGAGTGAGATATTAAAATTTCCTACTTCAGAATTAGTTTTTTAGACACTTAAGTGAAACTATCAGAAATGATGTTGAGTCTCAACTCAAATCAAACCATCAAATGTCCAAATGATTTCTAGTTAGTTTATCAACCTTTTAATTCAATAAAATTTCTATTACAAAAGTATATGAATCTCACTCTTAAATGGTGTTGGAATTAAAACTCACATGTAGAGTCTTTTTAAAGAACAATAATAAATTAACCATACTCACATTTAGACATGTGACATGATAGTTTGAAAAGCCTGCTCTTCATTTCACCACCTCACAAGAAGAATGTATACCCCAACTTCATCAAAAATTATTCAGCATCACATAAAACAATATTACAAACGAATTTTGGCAATTTATTTGTGAGACTTAAAATCTACTTTAGATAAGGAACAAGATCAATTTTATCTCATTACATTTAGAACTTGTTTGACTTGTGGGTAACATGGATGTCTCAATTTACCCCAGCATCTTTTTTATGCAAATATTATAATATTCTAACATGTCATTCATACTAAAAAGCATTCAATCATGCCTTATGCTATTGGTCTAGAAGCTTAAGCTCTCACATACTTAGATACATGCTACTTCCACCAAATGGAGTTAATTGTAGAGCATATGGTTGTTCAAATTACCAAACACAAAAAGTTGAGCTCACTTCTGTACCTAATGTAGGATACATCCATCATGGAGAAAGATTGAGAAATCCCAGAATAGAGACTCCAACCAGAAGCTACTATTGAGGGCTCCAAATAGAGTAATGGTAAGTCAAAAATGTGGAGTATTAAATAAATAATTACAGCCCATGATTCTCTTATGTATTGAGAAAGTAAACAAACAATGAATTCCCACAATAATTTAACAGTGAAGGAAAAGCAGAATTTTATTCTCAACTAAAAACCATGATCCTTCAAATTAAGCAATTTGAGGTTATATAAACTGGATCTTTCCCATCTTCAGCGGTAGTTTCTACCTTAGCTGGTCTCATTGTGTTTCATTCTAATTTTTCTTTCTTTATCTAATACAAAACTCATAAACACTATCTTCATAGTAGGGTCTGTAAGTCCCACTCTACTCATGAATTTAACAATTATATTTAAAAAGGTCAGATTTCCTCAACCTTAAGATTCAGGTGTTTACTCATCAAGAAGTGGCCTAAATAGGAACGAATGAAAAAAATAAAATTCTGACCTTTTCCCTTGGAATTTCAACTTTAGATGCAATATATTCAGCAGTGCTCCTTTTGTCCCCAAAAAGCATATATAGGTTGACACCTTGCTTATGCAAGGATTCAACATGTCTAGCATCTTCTCTGATCTGATCCTCAACATAAATAAGACCTGTTAGAGTACCATCTACTCCCACATAGACAATTGATTGATTCTTACCTATACATACACACACACATCACAAATTCAACACCCAAAATCAACTTACCCAGCGAACTAAAACATAAACACACAATCAATTAAAAACCTTCAAACGACCAAACCTATATACAAACACACACACACACACACACACACACACACAAAATCAATTTATAAACAAACTAACAAGTAAACACTAAATCAACAGAAAGGACATCGTCTATATAACACAAGTAAACACTCTAATGTGTCCATCACAAGCTAATTAATGTACCTAAAGCAGCACAAACCTAGTTCCATCACAAACCACTAATTTAAGTAACTTCCATTCATCATACTGAACTTTATCGCTTTCAACGATGGTAGTTCAAAGAAAAAAGTAGATGATTAATTTCCAATGGAAGGGGCTACTTTTTCCGGTGGCAAACTTTTTCCTAAGGTTTTTTAAAGCACCGCTAAGTTTGATACCTGAACAATATTCCCTAAACAAGCTAGCTCACACAAGAAGTCCAAAAGTAGGTGAACGTTAAACAATTCATAAATGTGGTCAAGGGAATTTATTCCGATTCTCAATTCAAAAACGCATTAAATTAAATCCAAATTTAAATCTCATTCTTTGTGGCAATTTCCTAACTCCTAAGTTTGTTATATGCATTTCCAACGTCAAAATTTCATAAGGCTAAGTTTGCTTTAGCCAAACAGTGAAAAATTTATTTCTGTGACAGCAAGCATTTCAAAATTTTTTGATTTTACTTGTTCGATAAATAAAAAATAAAAAATGACCCTCAAAGGCATCAGGTTGAGTCCTGGCAACCCAATACCTATTGGGGCCTTAAACAAACATGACATTGTTTTATAAAATTTTGATTTTTAAATAGGCCAAACAGCCCCTTAGAATGGAAAACACAGTGCGGAAATATTCTGGGCAGATTTGCATAAAGTCTAATAAAAGTTCAATTTCAATAGCTGAAATGTTTCACTGCTTTGCCTTTGTATTACCAAGCTAGTAAAAAAAATATTTGAAACCATTTGAAGCATAAAACAACCATTGCAAGTGAGTGGTAAGTCTCCCAAACACACAACAACACAACTCTCAAATGAGCCATACCAGCAAGCACAAGAAGTTAACAATCATCCAAGTAGACAAATTACTACAACTATTACATGCCTTCGAATGCAAATTATAAGGCATTAGAGTTAAAAAGTGAAATCTACTATTCTTAAATAAGCTGAAAAAATTAAATAATATATAATCTATAACTGAAATCAAACACCATCAATTGACCTTTTTTTACCTAAATAATAAAACTAAACCTAGTAATTTATTTTTTTTAAAAAAATCAAACCCACTAAGATTCAGATTGAGTTGAGAAAACACTTCAGAGCTACATAGAATTGCATGAAATCAAATGGGCGAAGGATACAAAAGCAGTTGCTCAAAATCAAACACCACATTTAGATTCCAGAAACAAAATTCTTCATATTTAACATGTAACTTTCCACTTTGATCTTAACTAACCAACATATAAAAGATTAAAAAAAAAAAAAAAAAAAAAAAAAAAAAAAAAAAAAAAAAAAAAAAAATCATCTTTCAGCTCAAAATTCAGCATAGTGAAGGTTGGAGACAGGGGCATTTGATCTAAGATTTGAGCTCAAAGCAAAGCAAAGCAGAAAATCAAAGAGTTTTGGGTCAAAAGTGAGTAGAACAGAAGTAGAACAAAGAAGATGTAACATTAACAGAGTCAAAGATCTGAAACCCTTGAAAAAAAGGACAAAGATGCAAGATTTAATTGATGAAGAGAGAGAGTGAAGAAGAAGAAGAAAAAGAAGTAGGGTACCTTGATCATGTCGATGGGTTGGATAACACAGGTAGCGAGGGAGGCTCCGCCATTGACGAAGGGTTTCACTGCGGGCCATACATCTATGGATTTTGGCTTCTACTTTCCCATTTCTTCTTTTGTTTCTCACTGCAGAAAGAGGCATAACAATGGTGGAGGAAGGGTTGTGTGGTCACTCTCTCTCTCTCACTCTCTTCTATGCTCCTTTTGATGTACACTGGTTCCTTTTGATTATAAAAAGCCAAGAGTTCATGAATTTTCATTTTTTGTTTTTGCCTATGTGTTTGGCGCTCAAAATTTTCATTTTGGCGCCTATTTGTATTTTGATCATAGTATTCATGATAGAAATTGCGTGTCCTGAAAAGTAAAATATTTGTAATGACTATCATATGTGTGTCGTGAAAAGTGTACTTTTTAATAGTTGGTTTTTTGTGCGCCGTAAAAAGTGTAATATTTTTAATGGTTGACTTTTTATATTCTGTGAAATGTTCAATATTTGTAACAGTTGGTATACGCGTGTCGTGTATAGTTAATGTATTAACGGCATGCCATATGCACGTCGTAGAAAGTTTTATTATTTACAGCTAACATTGCAAGCCGTAAAAAAATTATCATTATTAGCATTCACAGCCTACGCAATAGACACGCCGTGATTGAAAAAGTATTTACGACATGCAAAAAAAGAAAGTCATAAAAGTGAGAAACTACGACGTGCATTTATTGTATGTCGTTAATGTGGTGCCGTAAAAAATCAATTTTGTTGTAGTGTGAGTCATATATGACTTTATTGAGAATTTATTTTGGAATTAGAAATTGAAAGTCTAATTGGCTCAAGAAAGTACATATAGTGAATTGAATTATTTTAATTTCAAGTATCAGACTATATGAGAGTTTAATTAAATATTCGATACAGATTTACAAAATTGAGATTTAATTAATTGGATTCGAATTGGAGTTAATTAAATTATACGAATTAGGAATTAATATTATTATGAATTAAACTTATTTATAAGGTATTCAATTGAGTATGTAATTTATTGATGGAGATTTTAGGTTTGATCTGAAATTGAAGGACTTAATGATGTGAGAAACCAAAATTGAGCATAAACATAAGTTTAATTTAATATTTGGAACCTTATGGGAGTTTCATTAAAAATTTGAATTATATTGATAAATGTAATATGATTAATTAGGTTCTAATGGAAGTCAAATTAGACTAATTAAATTATGTGAGATTTCTAATAAAGTATGATTAATTTAATTATGTGTTAATCAAGATTTATTTAGATTAAGTGTTGCCTAATTAAGTTAATTTTAATCATAAATTGAATGGTCTAAAGTTTGGAGGGTGCATACGGGTGTAGGTGTGCAGAGAAGTCTGAGTGTGTGTGTGTGCGTGTGTGTGTGTGTAAGTGTTGTGCTGGAGGCTTAAGGTCTGTGCACGTGTGCTTGTGCCATGTCAAGGAGTGAACATGTGTCTATGATGTTGAGGCAACAAATGATATATATGTATCAATATATGTGAGCTAGAAGCAGAGAGTAGGAACTCAAAGAATAAGGGGAAAAGAAAAGAAAAGAAAAGAAAGAAGAACGTGAGAGAGAGAGAGAGAGAGAGAGAGAGAGAGAGCACTCACCTCATCTTTGTTGTTGGAAGAGAAGCTTGCTCGAAAGTGAGGATTCAAGGAAAACAACTAAGAAAGGAAAAGGAAATGGAAAAGTGAAGAAAAGAAGGAGCTCAAGGTATTTCAGCAACTAAAGCTTTTGGTAAGAAAGTTTAAGCTTAAATTTTTGTAGATTAATCATCTAGCAACAAAACTTAAGTAGTAATTGGGTTAAATTTCATAGAATTAGAAGGAAATTAAGGAAAATTAGGTTAAGTTTGATTAAGAAATTTATAATGAAAGTTGTTATTTGGGTTAGAGTTTCTTGTCATCCTTCATAAATTTAAAGTCTAACCTTACATGCATTGTAGATTTTTAAGATTTTAGAACTTTAATTCATATTTGAAAGATGATGAGTTTGGGATTGAGATTTGATATAACTTAGCCTCCGTTTGGGAAGTGGATTGGCTTTTTGGCTTTTTGACTTTTTTGGCTATTTTAGCCTGGGCTAAAAAGCTTGGTTTGGGAAGGACTTTTTGACTTTTTGGCTTTTTTGACTTTTTTTGTGAGAGAAGAATGTAATGATTATAGGTTGGATGTGATGTTTTGTTTGTTATAGCTAAAATAGCCTATTTTGTTTTTTGTGATTAAAATAGCCAAAAAAGCCTGAAAAAGCCCTTGCCAAACATAGGCTTAATAAGTCAAATTATGGTTTGAGCTTGATAATGTAGAATTGGTTAGATTTTGCTAAATGTTTCATACATGCAAATGATTTTTTAAGGAGTTTACAACTTTAATTTCATGTTTTGAAGAAAAATAAAAAGAGCTTGAAGTCAATTTTATGTAATTAAAAAGAAAACGAGTAATTGGAGCTAAGTTCAAAATTTATGGAAATTAATTTAGAAATTAATTACTTTGGTTTTGAATTTAGTTGTCTTAACATGAAATTGAGTTTCAATTGTATGTGCATCATGAATTTTTAAGAGTTTTGGAAGATCAATTCATGTTTTAGAATTTGTGGATTTGAAATTCGGCTTGATATGAAGAAAATGAATTAAATTTAAATTTGGACAAATATGGAAATAAATTGTAAGTTATATTTGAGAACCAAAAATTAGTTTGATTTTGATTTAATTTTATACATGCAAATATTTTTGAAAAGGGCCTTATAAATTCAATTTTAAGTTTCATGAAACAAAGAAAGAATTGAAAGATGATTTTTAAGCGTGAAATCCAAGGTTTAAATGTGAATTGAAATTATGGAATTTTGAATTATAAGTGGAATTAACTTTAAATAAATGTAATTGGGAATGTTTTTGCATATTCGAGTGAGTCATGCGCGAATTTGGAGCCTTGGTAATGTGCTTTGAAATTTAAACAACATTTTGGAAAACCCAGAATTCGTCACCATCGCTTACGCGAAGAAGTTGTCGCTCGAACGTAGAATGCAAGCAACCAATGTTTTTGCAAACCAAGCGGTCCG